GATCATAGTGTGGCAAGACCCTGTTAAGGGTAACTGTTTCTCTCTCAAAAAATAAATTAATTAAAAAACCTAAGTACAACCAACCCTAATTGACTGATTGTTCTTTTTTTTTTTTTTTAAAGAGATTTTTGCTACAGGGCATGTGCACTTGACAGAGAGAAAGAAAGGAAGAAATCACCATCCGGGGGGATGACCACATCGATTCCTCCTCCTTCATTCTCCTCTTGAGACTTTAAAAAAAAAAGAAGAGAGAGGTGCAGGGCTCTCATTTATGTTGAAAGCTGCTTACCAGGAAGTGCTGAGACCTCATCTGACAAATATGGACATAAAGACTATTAAATACTGTATCTTGCTTTTATTTTTTTTTCCTTTTCTTTTTCTTTTTTTGACAAAAACCTACATTTGTTTTTCATTTCTTTGCATGTGTGTTTCCTTTAATTATTATTTTTTACAGTCAACCACTGTATATTATTACAGTGTACAAAATGAATTTTCCCAGCACGAATACAATATCACATCTTTAGATTTCTCAACCTCTCCACAGACACTCAATTTAAATTGAGTAGAGATAAACAATGTGTATCTTTCAAAATCTGGCTCACTTTGCTCAATATATATATTTTTAAAGATCTATTTTACTTATTTATTTATTTTAATTTGATCAGAGAGGAACAGAACAAGAGAGAGAGGGAAAATGAGAAAGCAAGCCAACAGGTCCGGGCTCAACCCCCAGCTGGCCATGTGAGAATCCAGTGTCCTTAACCACCAAGCCACCTGCCAGCCCCTGCTCTGCTCATTATTAAGTCTTCTATATTCACCCATTTTGAGTCAAACAGTAGGATTCACTATTTCTTGTAACTGTGTAATATTCCATAGTATATATATATATGTGCACAGTTTATCAACCACTCATTGGTTTTTGGATACTTAGGTTTCTTGTTTTAGCCACTGTGAATAATGCTGCAATAAACACGGGTGTGCAAGTGTCTTTCTGACTGTTTTCCTATCCTTTCGGTAAATACAAAGAAGTGGGATTACTGGATCATATGGCAGTTCCATTTGTAGGTTTTTGAGAAACCTCCATATTGTTTTCCACAGAGGTTGAACTAATTTACATTCCCACCAACAGGGTAAGAGGGTTCCCTTTTACCATGGCCTCATTTGTAGCTCTTTATTTATTTGATCCTAACCATTTTAACTGGGGTTAAATGGTATCTCATTGTGGTTTTAATTTGCATTTCCCTTATGACAAGAGACTTTGAATATTTTTTCATATGCCTCTTGGCTATTCTTATGTATTCCTTAGAGAGTTTTCTATTCAATTCATTGCTTAATATTAATTGTATTACTCATTTTTTCCCTACTCTACGGATAAGCTGCCTGGAATTCCCTACATATTCTGGATTTCAATCCCTAGTCTCAGGAATAATTTGCAAATATTTTCTCTCATTCCAAAGGTTGTATTTTCAATCCAATTATTGTTTCCTTTGCTGTGAGGAAGCTTTTTTAGATTGATGTAATCCCACTTGTCTATTTTGGGGACTACTGCCTGTGCTGTAGGAGTTTTATTTAAGAAATCTTAGCCTGGAGCCAGCAGGTGGCACCAGACTCTCACATGGTCAACTTCTCAGTCCGGCAGTTTGAAAATCACACTGGGTGTGTGTGCATGCATGCCCAAAATCCCAATAGGAGAATGGAGAAGAAGGGATTGTGGCATGGCCATCTTACCAGGTCGGGGGGGGGGGGGGGGTTATTTCTCACTTTGCCTTTCATTGTCTCTATTTCTCTCTGACAAGTATATGCGTGCTACGGCAAAATCTTAAAAAAATACATTAAAAAATAAAAAAGAAATCTTCATCTATTCCAATATTTTCAAATGTTTCCCCTATATTTTCTACAAGTAGCTTTGTAATTTGAGGCTTTATATTTAAGCCTTTGATCCATTTTGAGTTATTCTTGTTAATGGTGAGAAATAAGGGCCCAGTTTCATTTTTCTGCAGGTAGACATCCAGTTCTTCCAGCACCGTTTGCTGAAAAGGCTTTCTTTTCTCTACAGCATTATCATATGCCTTTTGTAAAAGATCAGTTGGGTTTTTTTTGTTTGTTATTTTATTTTATTTTTCAGATAATGTTGAGTTAATTTGGAGGTTTTATCAAAGACATTTGTTATGGTTCTCCAGCTTAAACTCTCAAGGAAATTCACAAGGCTTCTATTTCATCTTAGGAATTTCTGGCCACAAATAAATTCAGACTTTCATTGAAGGACTTACAAAGCAGTGATAAGTGCCCCAAGACACAATGCTTCAGGAGCTTCAACCAAAATTAAGAGGGCCTGACAGTCATGCAATGGTAAAATTTGACACTTTGCAAGGCTGACCCACACGGAAAGGTTCTTGGTTTGCATCCATAGACCTCCCTGAGTACGCTGAACACACATGTGCCCATGATCCAGGACTGGCTGAGACTGGGGGTGGATAGTGGTGTCAAGACCCTGTGGTGTTCTCTCTCTCGCAGTCTCTCTTTGACTCCCTTGTTCATAAAAGATATAAATAGACATAAAAACAAACAAGCAAAACAAAAAACAAACAACAACAACAACAACAAACTACTAGGTGATAAGAACCAGTCAATAGGCAAACATCCTGGGAAGATATCTACTGTGTTAGGTCACTCTGGGATGGCCAGAGACTGATGGACATGGCAGATCTTGCCTCTGCAATAGAAGAAATGTGTGGTCAGGTTCTGAGGCTTGTTTGAGTAGGAATCTGGGACTCTCTCTGATCTAGGTTTGAAGGCAGTCTAAATGAGTTCTCAGTGGCATGTGTTACTTGGTACCAATCTGGGACCAACTTCACAACCCCACCATTATAATCCCCACACCATGATAACCTCTGGGACTCCAAACTTTCCCTGCTGCTGTTTGTTTTTAACAGAGCTAACCTCTGCTTTCTCTGCCCAAGAACACAGTTATCCAGTAACACTGGACTTCAGTTCTCTAGTGACATCATCTGTAAACCAAGCCCAGATGAAAACAGCAGCCATAGCAAATACCAACCCAACCCAGGCACACGTGGAAGAATACAGGGCTGGGTCCTCCTGCTAGCCATCTGTTACATCTCTTTGCCAAGGGTCCACGGTAACTGGAAATCCTGAGCTGTGCCAGCAGTTATAACCTCCAAATCCACTAAATCCCAGACACTGAGACCTTTGACCAGGAGTTTAACTGAGATGACATCATATGAGTGGCTGACACCATCTATGGAAGTCTAGGAGAGAGGAGTTTAGCAAGGAGAATAGAAGAATATGTGATTACAGAACTTCTGAGATGGGTGGAACTTGGCATCATCCAAGTTCATGGGACAACAGTGTCTAGTGTGTATTAATAAGCCTTGTGCTTAAGATAACATAAAATCCCTCAAGCATTTACTTTATTAAGTTGAGGATACAATACCTTGAAAATACAAAATCGTGATTTAATGAAATATACCTTTGGATTGGTTAAGCATCTTATGTGGAAAATTCTTTCACAATATGGAGTATGAAACAATAGGGTCAGGTAAGTAAATATATATCTATGTTCCCAGGACTTCTCTTTTGTAAAACTTCTTCATAGTATTTTCTTGCTCTCCTTTCAGGAGAAGCCATAATTATCAATAGTTATAGTAGACATGATCTCAGATCCTATTCAGAGTTCTAAACAAAAAGTTACAATTAAGCAGTTAATCAAACGAAGGAAGAAACTAGGTAGAATTATTAGGACCACAGGACAAATGACTCAGTCTGTCCATTCAACTGGGAAGTTAGCTTTATTCATATAAACCTTACATTAATTTTCTTTTCACTTTGGGCATCATTTCAGGCTAGTTAGGATGTTGTCAAAGAATAAGAAGAATTTATCCAGGTGAGGTAGGAGTGGGTAAACAATTCAGATAATAATTTTGGCTGAAAAGTCACGTCCTTTAAGATTTAACTTATCTGAAAGGCTGTTTTAATACAATCATACAGTTAATTTAACATGTGATCTGGATTGGACCCTGAACCAGAATTTTTTTGGGGGGTGGAAAGCACTACAAAGGATATTATTGAGAAAATTGGCAAAATATTGTCTACAGATAATAGTACTACATCAGTGTTAATGTCTTGATTTTGACAATTACACTGTAGTCATGTAAGAGAATAGCCATTCTTTTAGAAAACACATGCTAAAGAATTTAGAAGTAAAGAGACATTTTCCTGTTGAACCTACAACTTTCAACTAGTTCAGGGAAAAAAAAGTGTGTGGGTAAATATTGGGTCATTGGAAAAATCACCATATTTTTCTGTGCTGTCATGACTTTTCTGATGACCCAATACAGACATATTTATTTATGCCCATAAATATACATTAAGAAAAAATTGTAAGAATTGTAAAACAATAACAATTAGGGAACTTGAATAACAGGTACGGAATTTCTTTTACTATTCTAATTCTTCTGTAAATGGGAGCTACTTTTGAAATGAAAAAAAAAAAGACCTTTTTAAAAAAGAATTATTTAATTGTATTTATCATCATTATTATTTCTTTAATTTGCTATAGGGCATGTGTGCGAGAGGGAGAGAAAGTGAGAGAGCAAGCCACCAGGTCCAGGACTCAAACCACAGTTGGCCACGTGGGAGTTTAGTTTCTTAACCACCATGACACCTGCTGGTCCCCCAAAATAAAAAACTTTTAAAAAATTAAAGTTGATATGATAATGTATTCATAGTGAACCTATGATCTAAAGCAAAGCCAAATTAACATGCTATTATAAATTATACAGCTCAATTAGTTTTAATATTCTATTGCTGACATCACTAACCACAAAAACACTATTTGAGTTTCATCTGATTATAAAAGGGTCAGAGATAAAACAACTCAGAGGCAAAACAACTCTGACGCCCGTGTTTCCCAGTATAACACCATAAAAAATTAAGTAATAGCCAAACCAAAGCATGAGTCAAACACAGAGAAGTCATTATACCTTGAACTGCTGTCAATCTCCACCCAGCCCAGTTTCCATGACACATGGAGCAAAAGTCCGCCAATGAATGTCTGCCACCTGGAAAGGACAAGGGCCAATGCGAATTTAATAGAGTACTATGGTCTCAGAAATGATCCAGCCCCAGATTCGCTGACTGACATAAACAGCCACATTTAAACCTTTGACAACTCTTTTTTTTTTCTACTCTCTTCCAAATATCTCAGACTGTTCCATCTCAGTCTCTACCACTCTCTTGTGCCCAGTTGTCCAGTAAGAGCTGACACTGATATTCTTCTCTTCTAATTCTGGACCTTTTCTGAACAACCTGACCCACAGCCACTACTTTTCCCACTGTCTCTGTATCAATGATTCCCAAACCTCCATTCTCACCTGGATACCACTCAAGTGAATGGCAGGAATACTATAGGCATAACTTTATTCTGTCTCACTCTAATTGCTTTATTACTTTAGGTGAATCACCCATACATTTCAAAACCCTACTTTTAGTTATAAACAACTTGAAACACACCTCACCTCGAAAGTGACTATGACACATGCGTTGCATGTTGCATGCGTTGCAACACTATCATTGAGAACCCTGGGCCTAGGGGACAAAGTCTCTTGTGAGTGACATACAAATCCCTGAGACTTGTGCATGCCCATCTCCAGGATCAGCTCCTGACTGTTATGAGCAGCCACATTCCAGCTTTACCGAACAGCCCAAGACTCAAGAACATGGCAGGTCGTTTTGTATATCCAGAAGTGGGCCTGTCCTCTTGCCCCATAATCTTTTTCCCACCTCTTGTGTGGTAACACGTGATCAGCCTACATGTCTCTTGCGAAGTTTCACTGACCCAGCCAAGTCAATATGAACTGTATCCTCAAATTGCTTGGTCCAGAGTAGTGGTTCTCAACTAAATCTGATTTTTCACCCAGGGGACACCAAACAGTGTTTAGAGAAGGTTTTGCTTGTCACCACTGAGAGTGGCAGGGGGAGGACATGACACTGGAACCTAGTAAAGAGGAGCCAAGGATGCTGCTAATCTTAACCCTGTGTGTGCAGGCAGTCCCCACAGCAAAGAGTTATTCAACTCAGAATGCCAACTCTGGAATGTCATTCCGAGATTGAGAAACCCTGATCTGGTGGGAAATAAGGTAATTAACTAGTACTTACAATCAAGCATGATGAAGCCTTAATGGGAAGAGTACTGGGTACTACAAGTCACCCTAACAAGGGCAACTAACCTAGTAAGCTGGGTTTCTGAGTCAGGCCACCAAACAGAGATTACCATTTACTGCAGGGAAGTCTCAACGACAGAAGAGGCAAGCTCCACAAGGAAGAGAGCTTTCTTTTCTTCACTGATGTACCCCAAGCATCTAGAATGGTGCCTGGTACATAACTGACATCCATAAATATTTGTGGAATAAATTACTCTGCCCTACTATGCATTGTTTTGGGCACTGGGGACATTCCAGTGACATAATGAATAAAATGAAATTCCAGCCTTTGTACATCTTACATTCTATGTGGGGAGCTCAGACCTATCATGTACCAAAAGGGGTAAGGTAAGCCAGGTGTAACACCAACCCTTCCTACACAAGTTCCCTAAGTCCCTCTTCTTGGGAAGACGTAAGAGGAAATCAGGACCAGAAAGAAAACAATATCCTAGCTTTACTGACTAAAACATGCACTAGCAAAGATATTTTAAAGCTCCTGCTGTGAAACATTAGGGAGGACTGACAAAATAATTCCAAAGCTTACCTGAAATAACATATCAAAAATAAGACAAAGAACATTCCTTAATAAAGAATTATTTGTTTAATAAAGAATTATTTGTTTCTCTTTATTTATCATTCGTATTCTTTTAAAATTTGCTACAGGGCATGCACACTCATGAGAGAGAGAGGGAAAGTGAGAAAGCAAGCCACCAGGTCTGGGACTTGAACTATGACTGACCATGTGGGAATCCAGCACCTCAACTACCATGTTACCTGCTGGCCCCAAAAGAAGATTTTTTAAAGGAGGAAGCGAGCGTATGCCAGTATGCCAGGCAGAGTATATGCAGTATGCCAGGCACATACATGCCCATGATCTGGGGCTGGCTGACACTGGGTGGACTATAGTCAAGATCCTGTTGAGGTATGGTCTCTCTGTCTCCTCCCCCTCCCCTGTGTGCATCTAGCACATGGAAAAAATAAATAAATAAACTTGGGGGAAAAAAGAAGGATGAGGGGGATTTCTGTTTCCTCCCCCTCCCCTGTGTGCATCTAGCACATGGAAAAAATAAATAAATAAACTTGGGGGAAAAAAAGAAGCATGAGGGGGACTAGCAGTTAGCATAATGGCTATGTCGCTGGACTCCCATGTAGTTGATCAAGGTTCGAGTCCCAGACCCAGTGGTTTGGAACTCACGCCAGGCATGTGTGCGTGTGTGCCTAAGATCCTGAGAGGAGAATGGAGAAGAAGGGATTGCAGCGTGGCCATCCCCCCTGGGGAGTGATTTCTCGCTTTCTGTCTCTCTGTCTCTCTCTGTCTGTCTGGTGAGCACACACGCCCTATAGCAAAAACCTCTCCAAAAAAAGAAAAAAAAAAAAAAAGAAGGATGAGGGATTACTGCCTCTTCTACATATTAAATAATATAACAATCAAAATAATTTAACACTAGTCCTTTTCCAAAAACCTGACAAATGCCCAAAAAGAGACTCTAGAAAAATAATTTTATAAATGATATTAACAGCTAAAGGCAAAAAAAGAAGGATTACACAATAAATGAGGCTAGTACTGGGGGAGGGACGATTTCTCACATCACACCATACACTAAAACAAAGTAACAACAATTAAAAATTAAATAAACCTTTAATGAAATATAGATGACTATCTATATGACACTGTAGATATGGGGAAGAATAAACACAAAATCAATGGAAATAACCATAAAAGAAACAATCAATGGATTTATCTACATAAAGATAAAATATATCATTGAAATAAATAGAAACAATTTAAAAGAAAAAAAAACAAATAAGAAAAATACTTCCAGTACACATGATAGACAAGTAATTAACATTCTTAAAATTTAAAAAGTCATTAAAATGGGACCAGCAGTTAGAGTAATGGCTATGTCGCTAAACTCTCACATAGCCAACTGCATGCAGTTCAAGTCCCTGACCCTGTGGCTTAAACTCATGCCGGGCGAGTGTGTGTGCGTGCCCAAGATCCCAAGAAGAGAATGGAGGAGAAGAGATTGCGGTGTGGCCATCCCCCCTGGGGACGGGGGGGTGATTTCTCGCTTTCAGTCTCACTGTCTCTCTCTTTCTGGCGAGCGCGCACGCCCAATGGCAAAAACCTCTCAAAAATAAAATAAAATAAAATCTCATTAAATTAATAGAGAAATATTAAAATCCCAGTGAAGATAAGTGAGTAAAAAGCACAAGTAGATAATTCATTGAAAAAAAAATATGAGTAGATAATAAACTAAAAAAAAAAAAAATGCCCACTTCCTAAGTAATGTGAGAAATTATAAAACAATATAATGTAATTGTTTTGCTTATGAAATCAGAGGTAAAAATAACCACAGTTCAAGTATAATATTAGGTTGTTGGCAAAGTCGTGATGCATTTTTGCATATAAAGAAATACTTCCGATGACCCAATATTATAAAAACTTTCATATACAGGCTGGATGGCAATGTCAAACATTTTTAGAAATGGACTTGTTAACATTCAGAAAGACTACTAAACAAGTTCAAGTTCTTTAACCCACATTTCTTTTTTTCCTTTTAAATTTGCTAAAGGCTGTGTGTACTTACTGAGAAAGCACTCCCTATGTGGGATAGTCACACCACATTCCCTTTTCCTCCATCTTTCCTCCTTTCAGGATTTTGGGCATGCATCCAGTGTGATTTTCAAACCACTGAATCCAGGACTCAAAATGTATAGTCATCTACGTGGGATTCAGCCACCTTAACCACCATGCCACCAGCTGGCTCAACCTCAATTTCTCATACAGGAATGTACCCCTAAAACACAGTTGGAAATGTGGGACCAGCAGTTTACATTTTGGCTATGTCACTGGACTTCCATGTAGTCGACAGCGTTTCATGTACTGGACCCCCGGTGGCTTAAACTCATGCTGGGCACATGTGCATGCGTGCCTAGGATCCTGAGAGGAGAATGGAGGAGGAGGGATTACAACGTGGCCATCCCCCCGGGATTTCTTGCTTTCTCTGTCTTTCTGGTTAGTGTATGCACCCTATAGCAAAAACCTCTCAAAAAAAAAGTTGGAAATGTTGAAAATTTGGCTAATTTGAATACAAAACTGTCAAGAGTTTTCTTCGTTGCTTTTTTTTTTTTTAGTTTGTGGTCATTACGTATGTGCACTCATGGAGAGAGACAGAAAAACAGTGAGAGGGAAAGTGTGAAATTACCCACCGGGAGGATGATCACGCCACAGTTCTTCTCCATTCTCCTCTGGGAATTTTGGGCATGCCGACACATGTTCTCAGTGTGATTTTCAAGTTGTCAGATCCAGGATTTAAGCCATGATCAATGATATGGGTGTCCAGTACCTTAACCACCATGCCACTTGCTAGCCCTAAAATTATTTTTATGCTCCAGATATGGGACACATTTTTTTTTTAAGAGAGATTTTTTGCTATAGGATGTGTGTGCTCACTAGAGAGACAGGCAGAAAGCAAGAAATCACCCCACAAAGGGGATGGCTATGCCGCAATCCCTTCTCTTCTATTCTCCTCTTGGGATTTTGAGCACATACACATGCACCCAGCTTGAGTTTTAAGCTGCCAGGTCCAGGACTCAAACCACAGTCAACTACATGGGGGTCCAACAATGTAACCATTATGCCATCTGCTGGTCCCTGGGACAGATTTTTTTTTTAAGACTTTTTTTTAAAGATTTATTTTTAGAGAGAGATTTTTGCTATAGGGCACATGCGCTTACCAGAATCACAGAAACAGAGAGCAAGTGAGAAATCACCCATTGGGGGGATGGCCACACCATAATTTCTTCTCCTCTAGTCTCCTCTCAGGATTTTGGGCATGCACACGTATACACCTGGTGTGAGTTTTAAGCCACCAGGTCCAGGATATGAAATGCAGTCAACTATGTGAAGTTTAACAACATAACCATTATGCCATTTGTTGTTGCCCAAAAATTACTTATTTCATTTTATTTATTATCATTATTATTTTAATATGCTACAGCCCATATGTGCTCACCAGAGAGAGATAGCAGAGAGAGAGAGAGAACAAGTCGCCAGGTCTGGGACTAGAACCATGTTTGACCATGTGGAAGTCCAGCACCTTAACTACCACTCCAACTGCTGACCTGGGGACTCATTTTTTAAAATTGTGCACTTGCCAGAGAGAGACAGAGAAACAAAGAGAGACATAAAGGGAGAAAGTACTCCCCATGGGATGGGGCACAGTCACACCGCAATCCATTCTCCTCCAGTTCTTCATCCTGTCAGGATTTTTGGCATACACACATGTGCCTGCTATGTCTTTCAAGCTTCCATGCCCAGGATTTGAGCTGCAGTTGGCCATGTGGGATCCAGCTTCCTTCACCACTAAGCTATGAAGCTGGTCCAGACACAATTTAAATGCTCACTAACAGGACAGCTAAGTAAGTCACGATATGTGTATCTGATGAAAAACCTGCACAGTCATTACAACTATTTCATAGAGTTTTTAATGATATTGGTTGGCCATGTCCTACAAATGTACAAAAAGAACATAAAAGATACTCACCCTTGGAATAATGTAGGGTAGGTAAATTTCAAGACAGACAGGACATACTGAAAAACAAATACCAGATTAATGGATACCTCAGATGAAGACAAACTTGATAGACCATATCATCAAAAAATTCCTATTGAAGGGACTGGACAGTGGCACAGTAATAAAACACAACAGGCTGTAAGGCTGACCCACACGGGACGATTTCAGGGTTACATCCAGGGAAACCTCCTGAGTATGCCAGTCACCTATGTGCCCACAATCAGGGCTGGCTGAGGGTGAGGGTGGAAGATGTCATCAAGACACCAGTGGCGGTACCTACCTCTTGCACATACTTGTTCTCTGTTGCTCTCACTCATGGAAGAAATAAAGAAAAAACTTACACACAAAAAGAAAAAAGTTAGCAGTCTTCAAAAAACTGGAAGAGAGTATCTTCTACAGTAGATACAAAAAGATCTTCACTAATTCAAAAGGAAATTAATTATGCCAAGAGACTAGGTGCATGAGAATATGGTTATGCGGTAGCTACCACTCAGCTCTCTTCTCATTTGGCCTCTACTTGGTCTATTTGGCCTCTACTTGGACCTCTACTTGGGTCCAAGAACCATTTGGCCTTGGCCCCTGGAAGGAAACCTGACTGACATGACAAAACAATATAAAAAACACAAAAGGTGCACAGTTCTAAGAGTCACAAAGTTCCTCAGCAGGGTCCTGTTATGAACAACCACCTCTTCCCAACTGGCTGTTGGGGTTTGCATCTGTCAAAGTTCCTGTGTTGGAAACTTTAGCTTCAATGCAATGGTTTAGGGAAGTGGGACCTTTGAGAGGTAACTGGGTCATCAGGGCTCCCTTGAATGGATTAAGATCATTATCACGGGGAGGACTCGATAAAAGGAAAAGTTCAGCCCCCATCCTCTCCTTGTCTTGCACACTCTTTTGCCTCTGCTTTCTGTCATGGATGATGCAACACAAAGGCTTCTGCCATGTGCTAGCACCATGCTCTTAGACTTCCCAGCCTCCAGAACCATGATGCAAATACATTTATATAGTTTGTAAATTAACCTATATGTGGTATTTTGTTATAGCAGCAGAAAATAAACTAAGACACTGGCCCTCCCACTTCTTCTCCTCCATTGTTGATCTCATTTCCTCCTTCCACTTGGGACAATCTCCCCTTCTTTCCTTCCTCTGCCCTGTTAACCTACTCTCTGCACCACGCAATGACATACCAACAGCCTCAGGCCAAAGCACTCTGAACCATCATGTTTAAATTCTGTGGGCCCTTGAAATTCTATGATTTCTATTACTCAATATTCCTGGGAACATTACAACTTGGTTAACTTTATTGAACCTTGAGGCATTAAGCACGTAGAAGGCACTTAGTCCTATTATATTAATTATAAAATAGTACGGTACTCCAGTAAGTAAAAAAAAAAAAAAATGATACCACAAATACAAATGTACATCTGGGGGGACAAATAAATAGATAACTGGTAGTTTACAAGAGAGGATGAAACCACAGCGATACTTGTGGGTACCCAGATCCAGACACATTTGCACTGTTGTGCTCAAGCTCTCGCCATATAATACTCAGCACTTGGGACTCTACTAGAAGATCTTCATGAAGTGGCCCTTGACTGTGGACTCTAAAACCATGAGCTACGTAAGCCTCTTCACATAAATCAGTTTCTGGTATTCAGTCATTAACAACAGAAAATGCACTAGAACACGAAGTTTATACCACTTTCTCATATCTTTAAGTTAAAAAAAAATTAAATATAAGGAGATTAAGGTCTCAAAGGCCAGGTAAGTGGAATCAGGAATGAAATAAATCACTGCCTCCCAATAAGGCTGCATTTACAGATCTTCAAAGGCCCATCACCATAACTATTAGCTGGAAAGGGAATGGGGTTGGAAAAACGCCCTGTGACTATCCTGAAGATAGCTACTCACTTTAAGAGAGAAGTGTAAAAAAAAAATGCTGTTTGTTGGTGGTTCTTTTTCAGAGAGTAAGATGGAACAGAGCAATAGAGATCTCACAGTGGAACAAGGTGGTCCCTGGCCCATAATACCACTATGACCAGGGACAGCCCAGGGTGCAGGCCAGAGGAATATCGGCCCACTGGGTCCAACACTTCCCTGCACAGTACCAAACCCAGGTCAGCTTCCCCCTCCTACAAAAACTCCACACCACTGCCTCTCTAACATCAAAGGGTTTCATAACATTACTTTAAACCTAAAATTAAGTTCACATTTTACTTTTTTCTTAAGTCCACTTAAAAAAATATATTGGAAGTGCTTGGGAGGCAGACATAAAGAACAAGATCTGGGGATGAGTGGCGTGAAGGGAAGACAGATCATCTTTTCTATTTTAAAGGACCTTGAGAAGTTCTGGGGAAGGAGCTTGTCTGGCCGGATATGTCTGATTTCTACTCCGACATTTCCTTCCCCAAGGGAAGGGGAGCCAATTTTTTCCCTTAAAAGTAGTCCACACAGCCCAAAATTAATTTCCCAGGAAATGGCCAGGCAACAAATCCTGCTTCCCAGAAGATGCGCAGGGTCCTTTACAGGACGGGAAACAGGGACACCACCGGCCAACAAACGTTATTCTAAAACAGCATCCCATCCATCAGGAAGAAAGATAAAAAGCTGGAGGCTGCGCTGGTTACACGATTGCTTCTGGGACTCAAATCTCCCACGTGCAATCGCCGCGTCCCGCGCCCGCCCCCTCACCTTGTTCGTGAGGTAAGAAGCCAGGAAGCAGGTACAAAAGGTGAGGCCGACCAAGGACCTCCGGATGCACATCTGCCAACTCGCTCCCTCCGGGAGGAGAGGCGGTGCCCACCACCTAGCAGCTCCCAGCAATCGCCAGAGCCCCAGGGCAGTTGCGGCTACACCCGGAGCCACGTGGCTCGGAGCTCGGCCAATCAGCACTGGGACCGCCCCGGATCCTGCCTGTCTTAAAGGGGCCGCGCCGGACTCCGCCAAAGATTAGCAGTGGGCAATTGACTTGGTGGTGCAAGGCGCTGGATTTCCACATGGCCAACCACTGTTTGAGCCCCAGATCTGACAGCTTGCGTTCTCGTTTTCCCCCCTCTCTCTCTCTGATCGGATTAAAATAATGATGATGATAATAATAATAATAAATAAAGTTAAATGAAAATTTTTAAAAAATAATAATGGTATTTAGTTGGATAGGCATAACAGCCATTGAGTCCCACCTGAATCTAATTGAACTTTAACCATAACATTCCACTAACCTTGTGAAAATACTCAGTAGCATCCATCTGAGGGGATTTTGAAGAGTTTGTAGGAAAAATGAAAGTAAAGTAGGAGTGCTTTAGTGCAAAAGCTTCTTGAATCTATGCAGTTTTTTTCATAATATTCATTTTCACGGACTTTTTGTAAGCCTCCCTTCCCCCCGTTTTGTACATGGACTTGTTGTCTTTATGCCTGGTCTTATGCTGTTCTTTCACTTAAACTAGTTTTATAGCTTCTTCTAGGTTTCCATGGCATCTCTAGGTGGCGCTTCCTCCATGTAGTCTTTCCAGATCTTGTCAACCTACATTGAATCTTACAATGTTTATTGTCTTTAACTCTCATTTGGAAATAAATCATGTACTCTTTTATTTTTTCTTTAAGAGATTTTTTGCCTTAGGGCACATGCGCTTGCTAGAAAGAGAGAGAGAATGAGAGAGGAACCGACACAGTGAGAAGGAAAGTGAGAAATCACCCCCCAGGGGCCATGACACAATCCCTTCTCTTCCATTCTTCTCCCGGGATCTTGGCCAAGCACATAGGCATGAGTTTGAAGCCACCAGGTCCAGGACTCAAATTGTGGTAGGCCATGTGGGAATCCAGCAACATAACCACTACAACATCTGCTGGTCCCAATCATGTACTCTTTAAAGATAGAAGTGCTATATGATTATTTAATGTTGTTGTGTAAATACATTCACTCTTCAACTATAATCTCATAGTTCTTTTTTGTTTGTTTAATGACAGAGAACACATATATGTACATGTGAGAGAGATACAGGAAGCACTCTGCTCAAGGTCTTGTTAACGGATGGGAAAGTGTCGAGCTGCGTTATGAAGTCCTTGGTTCTTTGGGTCCAGATTACTAAAATTAGAGATCTGTCCCTAGGCACAAAATGAAACCGCAACCACGGATGAAGTAGGTAGAAAAGAAGTTTGTTTGTTTGTTTGTTTCTAAAGAAGATTTAATAGGAAAGAAAGGAAGTACACCCAGAAGGCTCTTGGGCAGGCAGATTGCCAGGTAGCAACTGCACTTGCACAGGTCAACTGTCGTTTTATTACTAGTGATCATGAATATTCTTTAGTGGGAGGCCCCCATTAGGCTGCCTATGTCCTTTCTTTGAATTTGTATCCTCATTTTCTTTCCTGCACCTGCGCACCTTCCTCACAGGTAAAGAATGAGGAACTTGATCACCTAATTGCACATGCCCAGTGCGAGCCAGGTTGCCCCAATTAGACTGCCCAATTAGTCCAATGCAACAAAAGTTTTATTGAGACATAACCACACTGTAAGTCTAGGAGTGTCTGTACTGTCAGACTACCTTAATTGTCAACACACTAGTATATATTATTAACCTACAAAACCTATGGTAGCTTGGAACCCTATCCCATAATGAATCAAATTCCCTTGTCACCATGGGCCAGCAGGTGGCAGAAAGGTTAAGATGCTAGATACCCACATGGTCCTTTTTTTTTTTTTTTAAGAGGTTTTTGCTATAGGGCACGTGCGCTCACTGGAAAGACAGAGACAGAGAGACAGAAAGCGAGAAATCACCCCCCATGGGGGATGGCCACAGCGAAATCCCTTCTCCTCCATTTTCCTCTCGGGATCTTAGGCATGCACGCACACACTCCCGGCGTGAGTTTAAGCCACTGGGTCCGGGACTCAAACCACCGTCGACTATATGGCAGTTCAGCGACATAGCCATTATGCTAACTGCTGGTCCCCCACATGGCCCATTCTATAGTTTGAGTCCTGACTCAGCAACTGGAAAATCAGGCTGGACACATGCACATACGTGCCCAAAATCCTGAGAAGGAATTGCAGAGTGGCTGCCCCCCTGAGGAGTGATTTCTCACTTTCTCTCTCTGTGTCTCTATCTGTCAAGTGCACACATGCTATAGCAAAAGGAAAAAAAAAATCCCTTGTCCCCACAGCTTGCCCTCTCTACTTCCTTAAGTAAAATCTGAGTCTCAAGTATAAGCTGAGTATCCTCTGAGACTGCTGTGAACACCAGAGGGAAATAAATTCTTCCCTTTCCCCAGCACTGTCCTGAACGTTACTCCCTCCAACAAGCTGGTTTCCTCCTAGCATGCTCTCTGAGCTTCCTTATCATTATCAGCACTATCTGCCAACCTCTGGGATACAAGCTGCACATCTGATGAAGACTCTACCAATTGTACACGTCCAGATTTCCCCAAGTTCTGCAATCTGGTTGGGTTATTTCAAAGTCAATGTACATCATCTGTCCAATATCTTGTCATTTTATCCTGGTCCCTAGTGCATCACAACCTCAGTATCACAACTACTTGGTTGTGACTTCCTCTGACATAGAAAACTGCATGGGTTTACCTCTAGGTGCTTTTTTTTGTTTGTTTGTTTTTTTTGCTATAGGGTGTGTGCACTTGCCAGAAAGTCAGAGAGAGACAGAGAGACAGAAAGCAAGAAATCACCCCCTGGGGGAATGGCCCACAATACCTTCTCCTCCATTCTTCTCTCGGGATCTTGGGCACGCACACATACGCGCCTGGCGTGAGTTTAAGCCACTGGGTCCGGGACTCAAATCGCAGTCGACTACATAGGAGTCCAGCGACATAGCCATTATGCCAACTGCTGGTCCATCCTCTAGGCGCTTTTTTAAAAAAAACAATAATTATTTATTTTATTTGTTACTATTACTTTTTAAATTTGACCAGCGAGAGAAAGGGAAAGTAAAAAAGCAAGCCACCAGATCCGGGACTCAAACTGCAGTTGGCCATGTAGGACTCTGGCACCTTCACCACACCACCTTCCAGCCCCTATCTTTATCCCTACCCTACTCTTTAGTAGCTAGCAATTGTTTCTTCCTCTTGAAATTCACATAACATAAATGAATCATTTTAAAGTGTAAAAATCATCGGCATTTAACAGATTCAGGATGTTATACAAACACCACCTCTTTCAAGTTCCAAAATATTTTCATTGCCTCATAAGAAAAGCCCATAGCTGTTCTCCATTTTCCCTCTCCCCAGCTCATTCCCTGCAACCTTCAATCTGTTTTCCGTCTATAAATTTACCTATTCTGGATTTTGGAATCATACAGTATGGGACCTTTATGTCTGGCTTCTCTCACTTAGCTTAATTTTTTTCAAGGTTCAGATACACTACAGTATAGGTCAGTACTTCACTCCTGTATTAGTTTGCTAGGGCTTTTGTGAGCACAAGTTCTGAGAATAGTCATATACAACTATTTGCAAAGAACTTGTTTTCCATTTTGGGAAAACAAGTCCCTAGGAGTAGAATTTCTGGACATATATTCTATATTTAATTTTTTTTTTTTTGAGAGGTTTTCACTATAGGGCGCATGCGCTCACCAGACAGACAGAGAGAGACATAGAGACAGAGAGAGACATAGAGACAGAAAGCAAGAAATCACCCCCCAGGGGGGATGGTCATGCCACAATCCCTTCTCCTCCATTCTCCTCTTGGGATCTTGGGCACGCACGCACACGCGCCCGGCGTGAGTTTTAAGCCACCGGGTCTGGGATGCGAACCGCAGTCGACTATGTGGGAGTTCAGTGACATAGCCATTACGCTAACTGTTGGTTCCCTATATTTAACTTTTCAAGGAGTCACCAAACTGTTTTCCACAGCAACTATACCATTTTACATTCTCACTGGCTAGGTATGAGAGTTCCAGTTTCTCCATCGGATCTTTATTTTTTTATTCCTCTAATTCTTCAGTTTCATTATGCCATTTCTTTCACTGAACTGCTTCTTTTTTTTTTTTTTTTTTTTTTGAGAGAGGTTTTTGCTATAGAGCACCTGTGCTCTCCAGAAAGACAGAGAGACAGAGAGACAGAAAGCGAGAAATTACCTCCCGGGGGGATGGCCATGCCAAAATCCCTTCTCCATTCTCCTCTCAGGATCTTGGGCACACACACACACACACACACACACACACACACACACGCGCGCGCCTGGCATGAATTTAAGCCACCATGTCTGGGACTTGAACTGCAGTCGACTACATGGGAGTCCAGCGACAAAGCCATTAAGCTAACTGCTGGTCCCTCACTGAACTTCTTTACTCCACCTTCATCAAAATCTCCCATTCCTAATCCCTATATTCTCCCTAAAAGCCACCATCTTTTTTTGTTTTGTTTTGTTTTTCCCAGAGAGAGATTTTTTGTTACAGGGCATGAGCACTTGCCAGAGAGACAGAAAGTGAAAAATAACCCTCCAGGGGGAATGGCCAAACCTCAGTCTCTTCTCCTTGTCTCCTCTTGGAATTTTGATCATACGCACACATGCCTGGCATGAGTTTCAAGCTGCTGGGTCTAGGACTTGAACCAGAGTTGACTATGTGGGAATCTAGTGATATAACAACTAAGCCATCTTCTGGTCCCAAGCCACCTTCTTTTTTGTAAGATGTGCACTTGCCAGAAAGAGACAGAGAGCAAGAAAGTGTGAAATCACCCCCTAAGAAGGGATGGCCACACTGCAATCCCTTCTCCATTCTCTTCTCGGGCATCTATGCACATGTGCATGGTATGATGTTCAAGGCACTGGGTCTGTGACTCAAACTGCATAGTCAACCATGTGGGATCCAGCACCTTAGCCTCCATGCCACCTGCTGGCCCAGGGACTAGAA